TGAATATCTAAACAACAAAGCAGAAACGTATGGGATGGACAGATGCTATTGTTTGCTTGTTATAAGAAGCACAGCTTCCTGAAAGGAGATATAGAAATGAATGTGGAAATACTCAGGATCAGGATCACATTTTTAAATTATCCTGACTCCTATTAAAGCCCTTGCTGAAGCTCCAGTTCCACCCAAAATTCCCTATCCTCCATTTGCATATAAGAATGGGGGTTTTTTCCCCTAAAGCATAAAAACTTCAAAACCATACCTGTAAGAGAGAAATGGCAAAGAAATTTTTACCGAGCTCTGATGTGAAGGAGGCAGGAGTCTACACTCCAAAGAAAAGCCGTCTGGTGCTGCCCTATCTGTACTACCCCAGCCTGTGGAAGTGTAGAAAGGCACAGGAGTCTATGACCTACAAAATCAAGGGGGAACTAAACATCAGGAAGAAAAAAAAACCACAGAAGAATGACTTCAGAGAAAGCCACTGAAATTTCTGTGGCTGGCATAAATCCGTGTCATGCACTCTCTGCTGATATGAAAGCTTTAAAATTTTTGAACTTTATGTACAAAGAAGCAATTCAGCATGAAAATATAAACCCAGAAGACTTTACAGGAGAGCTCTTTATCTAGAGTGACGAGCAGGCTACAGTATTGAAAAATAAGAGGGGGAAAAATATGACTGTAAAGAAAATACCAATTGCTAATCAATAGAAGTTCACACCAGAATAATCAAACAAACCAGACTGATTCTATTTCTGAATTGATTTTAAAGGTTTGTGATTCGTATAAGACTATTTCTTAGCACCAATTGACTAGAAAATGCTTTCAGTCATATCCTTGGTGCAAAAACAGTCTTATGTATCTGAATCGCAAATCATAAATTCACTATTTTGGCCACAACACCAGCAGACTTGTTGTGTCTTGAACTCCTCCTTTCTCCCTTACTCTGAAATACTTCCAGATACTTCTTTGCCATGTTCCCCTACCAAACACAGATACACAAGTCTGCAGGCCGCAGACATTCCCTCTTTATTTACCGCCTCCTCTAATTTTTAGTATTAGCTGCCAAATTACAAGAGCTTGTGGTTGGAAAATTGCAGCTCAGTATTGAGTAGCTGAACTGTCCCAGGCTGGCATGTCAGCCACAAACTGTGGGCAGAGATCTCTTTTCTCATTTGACAAAGAATAGGGCATAGAAAGAGCTGTACACTGGCAGCATCGTTTCCACAGCAAGGCCAGACACGCAGGAGACTGCAGTGTTACCACTGCAAATACAAGTTAGTGCCTACTACAAAAAGGTCAAAGCATTAACTCCAGACTTGTAGGTGACCTCAGACCAACTAAAATAGTGTAATTCACTGAACATAGTAGTCTAATTCACCAACCTACTAATTCCATTCTACCAAACACACTTGCCATTTTCTTTGTATCATTCTGAAATCAGTAACTTCACTTCAGGCACTTTGAGTCATTATCTGCTGTTGAGAGATTTGCAAGAGGCAGAATCTTATTGTCCTGGAAATTGAGAAATTAGATAACTCTTTAATTTACAGTGAGCAGCAGACGTAGCCCAGCTACGTCTTGGGGGTTTTCTGTATGTATGTATTATGGTTTTTTTTAAGAAATCCAGATGTACTGTACTAGTTAAATCACCTTTATCACATGTTGATCCAGGCATTGAAACAAAACAAGCAGATTTACAGGGCAGAAGTTCCTGCTGCAGAAGACAATTTATCTCCTCTTTATCTGTGAACAAATACTAATTCTAGTCTTTATTTTTAGGTTCTAAGAGGAGCCTGATACAGAAATCAGGCTTGCTCTTAGCTTCCACTTTCCCAAAGAACCCCCCAGACCCTTCTTGAAAAGCCCAGCACGTTTGCTGCTTTTCATTCTTCCATTCTAAGGCCAAATGAAGCAATGATTACACACAACCGTGTGTAACTCGGCAACTTCAACACCGAGTTCTCGAGTTCCTCACAAAGTGAGAACTTTTCCTAGCAATTCTTTGTGTTGGAATTCACTCTAAAACGTCAAGCTTCTGTCACATTCCCCCAGCCTGTCCCCTGAAAATGAAGGGTCCACATGGGAACTGTTCTGTAGTGAATAGCAATGCAAATAACTTCTCTGCTACAGCTTTACCTTCCCTCAGCTCACATGTAATATTATGAACCCCTATCAGCTCATCGGGATCTCTGACAGGATTTCTGCCTTTGACAGTTAGACAAAAAACTTTATTATTTTTTAAATGTCTCTACAAAGTTGTTCCTCAACATTTTTTTTGCTCTACCTCATTATGGTTTATATTTAACTTGCCAAAGTTAAAGCTCTTTCCTATTCTCCTCATTTGGATACAACTTCTGCTTCAGAAAGATGACTTATTTCTAGGAGTCTTGTTTACTTTACTGTTTAAGCAAGTCATTGTTCATTTTTGTGGCTTTTCTTCCATCTCTTATTTCCCCTCTCTTCTCACACTTTACCATTGAAACTGGACACAGTAGTCTAGAAATCTTGGATTGTGAGGTTTTGTATTTTAATTTTAAGTCAGTGTTTCACACAAAATTCTCAAAGTGAATTGTGCATATGTACACTTTTTTTGTGCACATATGAAAAAGCACTTAAGAAATGGTATTTTGTTAAGATGACATGAAGATTTCTCTGTCTGTTTCCGAGACAGAGGATTTTTTTCTATCTTGGAGGTAAAATCTGTATTTGTTCCTCCCAGATGTTTTAATTCATGTTGGATATATTAACATATATTTTGTTGGACTGTGGCCATTTAAATCAGGCAATCCAGATTGTTCTCTAGAAATAACTGACCCTTTATTTAGTACTCACAACCCAAGATTTTTTCCAGATAGGATTACTGATGAAGGGATCAAGCATTGCTAGAATAAGAATTGATTGAGGACCACATTAAAACAAACAAACACACAAACACCCAATAAACACACAAACAAACAAACATTCAGTCTTTCCTTACTATCAAACACATTTTGGTATTTCTCAGACCATTGCTCTTTAATCCATTCAGCAATGCTTATGCTTGCTAAGGTCTGAATTCTCATTTTTACCAGTAAAAAAGGACTTGCCAAGAAGAGCTACATCCTCTGAGAAACACTTACTCTATTTCAACTATTTCCACCATATTTTGCCTATTTACATTTAAAATTGCACTAAAAAGTCAGGAACCTTAAAATGGGAAAACATTTATTCATTTTATTCATGCTTGAAAACAGCCAAACCAACTTTATCCAAATATTAAAAACACCCAACAAAAACACACATTTTCCCACAAAGACCACGCCTAAAAAATGTCAGTTGTAGAGATGATGGTTTCCTAATGACAAAATCAACTGAAAACAGAAGCTAGAATAAAACAAATTGTGCAGCTCGAATCTTTAAATGAACAGGCATTATAATTTGGCTTCAGGAGTTCTAAATATATTGAATACCTGCCTTGGTAATATTAACTTTCATAGTTCTCTGAGTACAAGGAAATTTGCAGAAGGGAAGGAATTTTAAGTGCAGCATGATTTTTTTTTTCAGAACTACTGGTCAGCCATCCTTACAGCAGAACTGGGTAAAATAATTAAATGTACAACACTGAATTAAATTTGTAAAGAAATCAAAGACATCACAGGAAAAAATGTCAACATTAGTTAAGTTTTAGGGTCCAGGCAAAACAAGCACCTGAACATAAGTACCTGGTGAGTTGCTGTTGAATACAATTTTTCAATGTATGAACACTTGCTTCAACTACAGACACATTTGTACCTCTCTGCATGGAATTAGTTCAATGCAGTCAACTACTGGCAGAAGGTGACTGAACAGAGATCTGCTAGCAGCTGCTGAGGGAGAGAATAAATATCACTTCAGATTCTAGGAGGCTAAAAAGCTCCTTCTCAAAGCCAAAGTCTTTTTAAAATTAAAATAAGATTAATAGTTTTGTAATAATGAGTTCATCCTACTCTACTATTTACATTTAGTATGTACACAAACACAGATTTAAAAGCACTCACTATCAGTTCTAGTCTTTATACTCTATCCAGAGTTCCAAAATTCTCACAGAAGATAATACTGATAATTGTTTGGTTTACACTGGTGATGGAGAATTTTGGTGTTTTGTTTTGTTTTTAAGACTTGTCTGTAGTATCTATTGGTTACAAGGCAATGTCAGATGTATTTTTTTTATTTTTAAAAAGCTTCTAGTCACCATGCTTGTCAACAAAAACAAAGACAGAAGATACCACCAGTTTCAGGTTTGGCTTAAAGGCCATGATCACTCAACCTAACCTTTAGATGCACGGGAGGTCATGGAAATTCCCTCCTCAGAAGTAAAATACCTCTTTTGGAAAAGTGCCAGTTATGTTGAGAAGTCCACAGGCTCTTTTGCCAAAGAGATCATTGCACTAGAGCATCTCTTCCACATGTACAAGAAGCTTGTACAATGGTCAAACTGTTTGGTCAAATTTTCCATTCAGTGCACCAAACTGAAATCCTTGAGCCTCAACAGATTAATGTTCCTGCCAATCTATCTTCTGAACTGTCTCCCAGCAATTGTATAAACTCCAGGCACCCGAAGGATGCTTTACCTCGTTCTCCCAAGAACAAAAAAAAAACCCAAAACCAACTATAACAAAACATCACACTTTACTATCTACTCCAGATAACTTAATCATGACCAAAGCTCCCTAAGCATTGCATCATCTGCTACTAGCAGCGAGTTTGAGCACACAATTGTATCATGCACTGACAACATAATTTGTTTTATTACTCACTACCCAGAGGTCTCTATTCTTTGAGCAAAGTCCTAGTCAGACTGAAGTCAACGAAGCCATTGCCACTGACCACTCAAACTGTCCATAATTTCAACACTGGTCTCTCTGTGAACCAATCAAGTGACAGAGTAATGACACTTTTCAAGACAAACTCTGCCTATCACCCACCTTGAAGGATGAGAAGTCATCGGGGGAAGTGGGGAAAAAACTCCCACAGTGATTACTTACTTTGGGAAGATGACAGTCATGAGCGCTGATGCATAGCCTGGCTTGCACATTCCCTCAGAGAAATTGGCATACTTTGATGCCAGTTCTGGAGGCCTGTGAAAAAACAAGTACAGAATCAGGACTCTCCTGGCTATGAACTAGTTTTTGCAATCATCCAAGTAATTTTTCTCCTTATAGCTTTGCAGAAAACAGCCGCAGGGAGTAATTGCAAACACAGACCATTATTTATTTGTTGCACCATGGCATCACAGAAGAACAACAAAAAAAGGAAAAAAAAAAGTAAAGATAGCTGAAATACCACTAAACCACTAGTTTTGCTGAAAGATTTTCATAGCTAGCAAGGTAAAGCTCATGGAACAAAAAATATCAATAATCATTTTAGACTTCAACCTTTCAAAAGGAAAAAAGACAAACAGCACTTTGCTTTGGCTATTTTTCTAAGTCATGATCAAAGTTAAAATTATAGAAAAGTATTATTTAGAAGATTACTTAAAGATAGTTTCAGGAATTTGAAACAAAACTTCAAGCAGTACTGGCAGGGTATCATCAAGGGATGAGTACTTTCAGTATTTGGAAGAGATGACATTTGTTGAGGTGCTTCTTAATTCAGCTTGGCTAGTGACTCTCGGGCCAAATTGAGAATATGTGGGTGTTTTTTCATTCAGTTTCTGTACAGAATCAAGAGTAGTGACTCAATTAAAGATATTTCAGTCCAGCACATGCATTTACCACAGGTCTACTGAGTTACCTGAAAAAAACATTTAATTTTGTATCTCTATTTATCACCTGCAAAATTTTTAGTTTATCCATTTAATTAAAGCATTACAAGAGTTAATTAATTCACTTGTGCTTTCAAAGTAACATTAGTTATCTAAGTGTCATCCACAATATGATGATTGTTAATATTTCTTCAAAGAACAACCAAGAGAGCATTTACAGTTCCATGCTCAACATTCAGTGGAAGCTGAAAGGACTCATCGATATCACTGTTCCTGCTGCATCATTATCAGCAACAGGCAGGTAATGAAAGGTTTCTTCCTCCAGTTCAACAGCAGCACTCAAATGAAAATGACAGTGCAGCCCCACAGAGTAGAACCACAAAATCAGTTCTGAAGACCCCACTATCTTCCCAATCATGTTCTTTCCCAGGCATCACCATTACCACTTAACCAGCAAACAACTACGACCTGCAATGAATGTGGATTCAGAGTTTCAAAATTACATATAGGAAGGACAGTAACTCCATGCTGAACTGGGAGTAACCGTTCTTCTTATACTGGTCCTACATTACCTTTCAAGAGGCCAGTAACCAGTTGCAACTGGATGGACAATAGATGGACAATTAATTTTACAACTAGATGCATAAACTAGCTTCTAAACTATAGGAGAATGGTCTCTCTGTATACAGAACCCCTGCAATTCTGAATATATACATACATACAGAACCTCTGTGGCTCTCAAATAATAAAATCTATTTCTGCTGAATAAAAATCGAAACCTTCAACAGCTGGAAAAGAAACTAGAGAAGATAAATAGTCATTGCAAGTATTTAATTTCTTAAGACCTTTTAAGTTAAAAAGCACCATAAAAAGCTTAAGAACAAGGATCCTGTTTAATTCTGCTACAGATATCCTGCATGGTTATGGTCCAAATATGCAGTATTTTACTATCAAAATTCCTCTTCTGTAGGATGGAAGAACAATATATTTGGCCATTTACACTGTCAATTGTTTACAATAAAGTACAGATATCTCTAAATATATGATATAGACATGGAGAGAAAGAGACAGGTGCAACATTATCTAGCACAACCCAAATCCATGAATTTGGTTTCCATAGGTAATGATGTGATATCATAATACATTTCTTTAAATGAGAAAACATCTGAGAAAGGAGCATCCATGATTTGCTTTCTTATGCCAGTCAGGATCTCTTTATAAATAGGCACATTTATAAATAAATAAAAATAAATATAAATAAATATAAGAATGACTGAGAAAATAAAAAGCTTTAATGATGCTAAGGTATATTATATCCCCTTCTCACACAGTCAAAAGAGACAGCAGGATGTATTGATCATAGCTTGTTGAAGCATTTCAGATATGAAGAAATGTGGGAAATTTTAACTTTTTTCAAGCAAACCTAAGCTTGCTAGAATTTTAATCATTAGGCAACATACAGAAACCCCTCTTACCAAAACTTCCAAAAACAAGTAGAAAGCAACTGGAATTTATCTGCAGCCACCACGGTAGTGAGTCATTGCTGGCAAACTTGTATAACTATTTCAACAGCAGGCCTGTCTCAAATGACCTCAGTGGTCACACAAAATATTTTGTGCCACAAACACAGGCATTTTTCTCTTTTCTGATTTAATGGTGCTTTCATTATCAAATTAAAACGTCACTCAGATGCCCATCATGGTGTTTCTGCACAAGAATAGCAGGCTGAGACCCTCCTGCATGTGAGCCCCCCGCATGCCAAGCGCTGCATACTGATGGAGGGGAGCTGTCAGTACAAACCCACAAAGACACTCAGAGCTGCTAAAGCCCCCAGGCCGAGCTGTTAACATTTCCTGGATGTGATGAAGTTCATGATCCAAAGTGCCAGAGGCAGAACAGTTCTCTAAGCCAACCATAGCTGCCATCTCATATCATTCAACATTTGCTCATCTCCTTTCTTGGTGCCGCATCTTGAGTCACCAAGCTACAGAAAACTAGAAAGGGGCACTCTACATTTTAAATCCATCTAGGGACATGTTTTATTTGTTCAATCTCTTTGAAATAGGCATTGCATACTGTCACTGCCAACACGCTCATAATGACAAGCCCCTGGTAGGTGTAACCCAGAGCAAATTTAGAGTAAGGCTGGGTACAGCTTTGCTGTTTACCATTCTGCTACCAGATGAAGCTAACCAAGCTAACTTGATTTTAGATATATACATTTGCCTTGCAGGTATTTTTTCCTGCAACATCCACAAATCTTGCAGAGATCAGAGTTCCATAAATCAGGGTGTAAAATATCCTGCACAAAGCATTCCATAGAGAACTATACATCTTTCAAACAAATCCAACTTCAAAAAATCACACTGTTTGTAGCTATGTGGTTCTGCAATAAAAGAACTGTACAGAACTGAAGTCTACAAATGAGCATCTCCTTTGTATTTGATGACAATGTATCTACTACACTGTTGCGTATATTGGTGCCTCTTTGACAAAGTTTTTATTTCCAAATGGGAAAAGCAAACACGATTACTTTCCTAATGCTTTAGAAACTAACAAATAGCTTCATCTCACTAGCCCCATTACTGTGCCTGGACTCCAAGGCCATCCTGATAAGCCAGCCAGCCAGGAGCATCATGATACTTATGACAGAAGGGTGCAAATCTCCTCTACATCTTCCAGGTCCAGATACATTATTCCAGCTCTTGATGCTCATGCTGGGCTGAAGTAGTTAAAGAGCTAGTGGAGACAGCAGAAATAATGTAATTAATGACACTGTGGACCCTTTAAATTTTGTTCAGATTTTGTGCAGGAAAAACCTGGTAAAGTAAAAAATGTCTCCAGAATAAATGAGAAAAACAAGTCACAGTCAGTAACTGTAAATATCCGCTGTTTTTAGACAAGTGCCTGCATGAGGGTGAAGTTAAAGGGAAGTAATTGGCTTATTCCACTCAAGAGAAAATGCACTCATGCTTTTTTCTGACTTCTCTCTTATGAGACCAGCACACATCCTGAATTTTTATGATATTCAGTACTTCTCTACACTGTTATGTGGACATCAATCTCAACAAAATTTCACAATTTGGATAAGTTAAAAATCCAGCTGCTTTCAGAGGATTTAGAAAAAGTAACAAGATTTTTCCTTCTGCTTGCATTTGGCAGACGTGTGTCTTCTTTCAATCTCAAATATGAAAACGTCACCATAGTTAATTCCTTCATCGTGTCCTGATCAGGGACAGCATGTCATCCTCATAGACTGGAATCTAAATCCTTTTAAAAAAAGAAATTAGTAATACAACTCAGTGTTTAGATTACTAAAAAAATGGCCACAACTAAGCTCATGTAATTGAATATTACAAAATCTACTTGAAGAGACAGATTTTGCTGCTTTGCCTTTCACATGGAATTTAAACTGCAGCTTATAAAAATCAAAAAACTTCATCTACTCAAGATCATCTCATTTGAGGACTGATGTCTCTTCCTATTACTCTTGCACACAAAATATATGAACTGACATTTCTGAAACAAGAAAAAGGAGTCCTTGGCAATATGCTCTCTAGGCTGATCCTTCTCCTTGGGGTTTCTAGCTCTTTGGTTCAAAATAACCTGGGTCTTATGCCTACACAGCAGCTCTACAAAGTGTAGGTCATGATACATGAAGAATGAATAGGAGATGGAATGAGAACATGAAATGAAGGCATATAAAACATAGTGATGCATTATGGAACAATAATGAAATATTAGCATATCATCTGGCAGATCACTAAATCAAAGCAGTTAATGCTGAGACCCCATAGCCAAACCCTATAAGATTCAGAGCATTTTAATTTAGGTAGGACTCCCTGGATCAGACATATCCACTATATTCAGTCATGGCCCAGTGTTGGCCAAAGGACAATTTTGTAGACTCCTGGAATAAAACTTTCAGTTCAGTTTCCCTCAGATAAGCTGAGGGCTACATTTCAATCAGCATACAGTAAGAACTAGTTACAAGATTTGCTTCAAAATTGCAAGACTGCTCAAAAAAATACACAACTGAAGACAACAACAAATTCCATTTGATGGGGAAAACCCCAGAAACAACTATAAACCAGCCCTCCCTTCCTGCCCAACTAGCAAGGAATTCTATTAGAGAGGTGAACAAGTAAGTGCTCTGTCAACTCTCCCCTTCCTTACAGACTGTCAGGCTCACAGCAAATACAACCAGTTTGCTTTAAGGCAGGGGGAGGACACCTCCAGCAGGTTTCGTGATGCAGCTCCTCAGTTACTGCCACTCAGCCTGAGAAAGAGAAGCCATTGACACTCACCTCCAGGGTAGTCAATCCCATACACCAGGGCACTGAAAAATGCATCTCTACCTCTGCCTTCATAGGT